TGTCTATAATAGGCAAATCTACAGAGACAGAAAATAAACATTGTTCTGGTGATCACCACACAACTCCATGAACACACTAGAAACTAATAAAGAGTGGTTAAAAAGCTAACTTTATGGTATGTACATTATTATATTAGTAGTAGTAGCAGTAGTAGTAGTAGTAGTAGTAGTAGTAGTAGTAGTAGTAGTAATAGTGGTAGTGGTAGTACTGGGGATTGAATCTAGATGCACTTTATCACTGAGCCACATCTCCAGCCCTTTTTATTTTTTGAGACAGAGTCTCACTAAATTGCTTAGAGCCTCACTAAATTGCTGAGACTGGCCTTGAACTTGTGATCCTCCTACCTCAGCTTCTTGAGYTGCTGGGATTAAGGCATTCACCACCACACCTGGCTGGATACCTTTCAATCATTACATATAATGCTACACTGAGGCTGGGGTTGTGGTTCAGTGGCAGGGCACATGTGAGGCACTGGGTTCAATCCTCATCACACATAAAAAATAAATAAAATAAAGGTAAAACAAAACAAAGCAAATAATGCTATACTATCCATGTATATAAATGTAAATAAGACCTTTTTTGTTTTCTGTTTTATTTTTATTTAATTTTTTTGAGGGGGTATACAAAGCTTTACCTCATTTTGACTTATGTCGTCAGGAGACCACCATGAAATGAAAGCAACAACAGAAAATAAGTACTGATCTTTAAGATGGCCAGGCATCCTACATAAGTGCTTTTCAAAAGAGATCACAATCACCCAGCAAGACGTATTATGCTCAACTGCTCAGATTACTATGTTTAAAATAAGTTTATTTCAAATGGAAGATGGACTAGGTCAATGAGTAAAAGTCTCTGAATGCCAAGTTTTGGCGCACACTTACAATACATCTATATTTTATTACATTGGTTAATAATATATATATATATATATATATATATATATATATATAGCCCTACGTCTATTAAAAAGCTGGGAGATTTTATCCACGAATCTAGATTTCCCATCCCCACAGGGAAACTGACAATGAGAACGAAAGAGTCATTTCCCACATAGTATCAGGCACACACACCACAGTTCCCCACAGCCCCTATAGTCTTCTGATTGATTTCTGCAGATGATTTTGCTTTGGGACTACTTCATTCCACTTGGTTACCTACTTGTCATGTGACTTTACAGACTCTAAGATATATTGTCAATGTCATTTGTAGGGTTAAGTCAAGTTGATAAGAAGTAATCCAGCTAAGATTGTGCTCAGTCATTCCAATTCAGCTGAGGTTTGGACAGCACAACCAATAAGGCTTATTCTGGGATTTTGCTAGTGTGGAACAAAGGAGGAAATGAGCTTTTTTAGAAAACACTTTCAAGGGGCTGAGGTTGTGGCTCAGTGGTAGAGCACTTGCCTAGYATGTGTGAGGCACTGGGTTTAAGCCTCAGCACCACATGAAAATAAATAAATAGATAGATAGATAGTTAGATAGATAGATAAAATAAAGATATCGTGTCCATCTACAATTAAAAATACATATATTAAAAAAAATCTTCAAGAGCAAGACTGCAAGAAAGTTCAACAAGAACAAATGCAACAACTGAAAGTTTTATGCAACACAAAAGACCAAAGCAAAACCCCTATTTATGAAGACTGGGATTCCTGAGGATGATCTAAGTCACAGCAGGAAAGAAAAACCCACAAAATCGCTGGCGCGCCTATCATCCCAGTGGCTCGGGAGGCTGAGGCAGGAGGATCACAAGTTCAAAGCCAGACTCAGCAACTTAGGGTGATCCTAAGCAACTCAGTGAGATCCTGTCTCTAAATAAAATACAAAAAAGTGCTGGGGAAGTGGCTCAGTGCCCTGAGTTCAATTCCTGGTACAAAAAAAAAAAAAAAAAAAGAAAGAAAGAAAGAAAGAAAAAGAAAACCCCACAAAATCAAGAACTGTTGATCCAATGAGGTTCTAAGATAGGACAGGCTCTTACTATGCAAAGCCACATTTTTTACTGCAAACCAGGCTACAGACTTACATTATTCTTTTTCCTTCTGTAAGTATGTTGGTATTTACTCAGTAAATTCCTTGATGAACAATTCAGAAGTAAAGTCTCTAGCTGGCTAGTAAGTAAATGCTATAGGATGACTGGATCTGCTGAGAAGAGGGAATGCTCAGCAGCAATTAAATAAAGGGGCTGGGGCTGTGCAGCTCAGTGTAAAGCACTTGCCTAGCATGTACAAGGGCCTCAATTCAATCCCCAGCACTGAAAGGGTGGTAAGGGTTGAAGATATGGATGAAGATAAAATAATCTTTATTTTTGTGGAAACTGGTATCTTTAATAAAAAGGAAAGTTTTTAAAGTGAAGTATAACACAATGCAGTAAAGAGTATAAATCTTAAGAGTACAGCTCCAGTTTTTATAAACAGAACACTATTCCTGTACAGCCATCACCCAGATCAAGACAGAGAATAACCTTAATACTCCACTATGATCCTTCCCTTTTACTCCCTCCAAATAATAAGGGAAAAGGTAGAGATCTTGAAGAAAACTTGTCAAATTTCAACCCCTAAACAAAATAAAATTCAAATGGTATAAAAATTTAAACTATACAATAAAAAATTTAAATATTAGAAGGAAATAGACATAGTTTATAATCAAACAGCAGGAAAAAACATGCAAAAAGACTCTGAAGCCAGACAAGGGAAGCCAGACAAGCCGTACAAAAATCTATGTAGCAATGTTATTCATAATAGTCAAAAGGTGCACAGGAAAGGTGGCACACACCTATAATCCCAGTGGCTTGAGAAGCTGAGGCAGTAGGATCATGAGCTCAAAGTCAGCCACAGCAAAAGCGAGGTGCTAAGCAACTCAGTTGAATGCCCCTGAGTCCAATTCCCTGGTACCTCCCCACTCCAAAACAAAAGGTAGAAACAACCCAACTATCCATCTTTGGATACACAGATGTACTAAATACAATTTATCCATGTAATCGAATATTATTTGGCCATAAAAAGAAAATGGGTATTGACATATGCCTCRATATGATGAACCCTGAAAGCACTATGTTATGTGAAAATAGCCAGTCACAGAAGACTAGACATTACACGATTTCATCTATATGAAATGTCCAGAACACGGATTACAGAGACAAAAAATAGATTCACAGTATCCAGGGCAGGGCCAGATGGTGTTAAGAGAGACAGAGAAGCAAAAACTAATACATTCGGAGTTTCTTTTTTTTTTCAGGAGGCCAGGGGTGGGACCTAGGGATTGAACTCAGGGGTACTCACCCACTGAACCACATCCCCAGCCCTATTTTGTATTTTATTTAGAGACAGGGTCTGAGTTGCTTAGCTCTTGACCATTGCTGAAGCTGGCTTTAAACTCGTGATCCTCCTGTCTCAGGAGGATCCTCTAGCCTCCCTAGCCGCTGGGATTATAAGCATGCACCACCATTCCTGGCTACATATGGAGTTTCTTTTTTGAAGTAATGAAAATGTTCTAAGACTGTAGTGATGATTGCACATATTTATGAACACACTAAAAAACCAATAAGTTGGGCTGGGGCTGTAGCTCAGAGGCAGAGCCCTTGCATAGCATGCATAAGACACTAGGTTCAATCCTCAGCACCACATAACGATAAACAAATAAACAAAGTCATTCTGTCCATCTATAACTACAAAAAATTTTTTTAAAAACCCAATGAACTGTATACTTTAAGAGGGTGAAATAGGGGCTGGAGATGTGGCTTAAGCGGTAGCGCACTCGCCTGGCATGCATGCGGCCCTGGTTCAATCCTTAGCACCACATACAAATAAAGAAGTTGTGTCCGCCGAAAACCAAAAAATAAATAATAAAATTCTGTCTCTCTCTCTCTCTTTAAAAAAAAAAAAAAATTATAAGGCCAATCAGGACCTTTCCTCTGAAATTCAAGAAGGTAATATCAAGCAGCCCTACCCACTTCTCAACTTGACTGTCCAAAAGTCTCAAATGGAATACAACCAGCACTGAGCACCTGGCCTCCTCTCACATGGAAATTGATCCCACACTTGTCTTTCCCATTTATTTAAAAAAAAAAAAAAAAAAAGAGGGTGAAATAGGTCTGGGGTTGTAGCTCAGTAGTAGAGTGCTTGCCTAGCACATGCAGGGCCCTGGGTTTGATCCTCAGCACCACATAAAAATAAAAAAATAATTTTTTAGTTGTGTCCAACCACAACTAAAAAATAAAATATTAAAAAAGAGGGTGAAATATATGGCTAGAAAAAACTATGAAGAAATATTACTTTTCTCACATCTGCTTAGTGAAAACTTAAAGACAGTTTGGTGAAGGGGGCTTCTAGATCTGGTAATGTTCTTCTTGATTTGGGCAGTAAGACAAAAATGAACTTATTTTGTAGTAAAATAATAAATATTTTAAAAAAGGGGGGGGGGAAGGTGTAGAAAAACTAAATGCCCATCAACTGGGACCTGCATGAATAAATCATGGTATAATTACACCAAGGAATACTATTTGGCTATTTAAAATAAGGCAGATTTATATGTACTAAAATGAAACTATCCCCAAGCTAGAGAAAATTACATCAAAAAAGCAAGACACAGGAGAGTGTACCAAATATATGGTATGCCCCTGCAGGTGAGGAGACAATAAGCTAAGGTGTGAGGGGTATTTACACACATATTGCCTCATAATATCTCTAGAAAGACATACAATAAACTAATAATTACAACTGCTTCTGAGAAGGAGACACAGGGGGAAGTGGGATACACTTTTTGCTTTGTGTCTTTTTAAAAAAAAAAAGATGGCCATATTATCAATTCAAATAAATAAATTCTTAAAAAAACAAACAAACTATATGCTGCTTCAACATAGAAGAATGCCATTCTGCTTCTGAAAGGTAAAATCTGAAATGTTTGCTATAAATTCTGATGTTTCCTGTCTTCCATTTTAATACTTAAATTCTCAAACCATTTAAGTAGGAGAAATAACAGTAACAATAAGAAAACAGTTACTTACATCAACACCTCCAAACAAGTCAAAAATGTAAGTATTTGGATAAGTGGTTTCTTGAGTCAGTTTCCTATCTTCAGTAACAAATGCCATAGCCTCCATGGAAAGAAGAGGAGAAATTTCCTAGTTTAAAAAACAGGACAAAGACATTCTGTTTTAGAATTCAACACAGACCAACATTAAAATATCAGTTTGCATTTTAGTCACAAGTTGAATCCCAATGAGCATAATGATAAGTGACTCCAAATGAATTACACTTCCTAGTATTCAGACTCCTTTAGAATCCTTGCCCACACTGAATCTGGGTTGGGGTGATTTCCTTCAATTAACATAATGTGGCAGAAGTGACACTATGCCACTTCCGGCATAACCCTTAAGAAGGCTGGTAGAGTTGGCTTTTGCCATCTTGGAACCTAATGGTACTGCTATGAGAAACTCAACATAGCCACCTATTGAGGTCATAAGCAGAAGAACTAAGGCCAGAACTGGTATCTTTAGCCTATCTCCAGCTGACAGTTCACACCAACCAGCCATTTTGAATATTCCAGATGTCTCAATAAACCTTCCCAAAGAAGAAGAAGCAGACGAATCATTCAATCAACCAAGAATTGTGAGAGATAAGTGATAAATGCTAAGTTTTGTGGTGACTGATTCTTCAACAATAACCAAATCTGTTCAAGAGTCATCTCCTGAAGGAAGTCCATCTTGATTCCTCCCATTCAAAAGTAATCCGATGCTCTTCTAAAGCCCCAAAGCAATTTGTGTAACTTATGACATTCAGCATTTTTATTTTTTATCTATTTATAAATCTATATTATTTCTTCCCTAGAATACAAAGCTCCTTCAAGAGAAGCCCAGAACAGATTCCTCTTTGTGTTTCTTCACTGTAGGTCTTAAGACATAACAGGTATTTGATATGGTAGAAATAGGGCAATGGTTCAACAAATTTTGGGAGCCACAGAAACCTTTATTCATATGGAACAAAACTTAATAGAAAAAAAAATCGTATAAAAGCCTACTATGTAGTAACTCTCAAATAAGTAATTGTTAGATGAATAAAGAAATGATGATCAGGGGGCTGGAGTTGAAGCACAGTGGTAAAGTGCTTGCCTAGCATGTCTAAGGCACTGGGTTCAATTCTCAGAACCACATATAAATAAATAAAATAAAGGTCCAACAACTAAAAAAAAAATACATAAACATACACACACACACACACACACACACACACACGTGTGTGTATCTATATATATAAAAGAAAGATGATCAGGCATTAGAGACTCAGATATTAATTTTCCTCTCCTTCAAGTTTACCTCAACCCTATCTCTTGAGAGATTTTACAAAAATAAAATAAAACAATATAAAATTCTTTGGAAAGCATTTCTAAATAAGAGGCTAAAATTACTTCTATCAATCTCAATCAGACTGGGAGATCAAGAACATGAAAACATCTCAAAGGTAAAGCTGAGGTTTAGTGACTATTTTATTTTGGAATACCTTCTATGATATAACATCAAAACTTTACCTCTAAAGAACATTATATAATTCATCTTCATTATGATAAAATATACTTACAGAGGTTATAACTGCAGCTAGATCTGGTACTCTAAATTTACATTTGGGTTAGAAACTCTGGGGATGGAACCCAGCACTCCGATGAACACTGCTGAGAATAACTGCCCTAGCATAATGTCTTTGCACTCTTTCCACCCCTTTCTAGCTATCAAACCTGGTCCCTTCAATCTTTTTATGTTAATGGTAATTATGAACAACTTATAAGGCACCTTTCATAAGCCTTCAGCAATATGGGATCTTTTAAACTCTGTTTAAAGAATGTCATCCAGGGCTAGAGATGTAGCTCAGTGGAAGAGTGCTTTTCTACCATGCACATGGCCCTGAGTTCAATACCAAGCACCAGGGGGCGGTGGGGGGGGGTGTTATCAAAATCCTCAGGAACAGTTTTAACCTCCCAAATTAATCAAACAGTGCTGTAAAATAAGCATGAATAAAGCACGCAGGAATACACAAAGGAAACTTAATGGTAATTATCTCCAGATGGTGGGATTACTGGTGATTTTTACTTCTCCGCATTTTTTCTGAAATTCTCAAATTCTGTACAGCTTATATAATTTTAAGACAAAAGCTATTTTAAAATGGCAGGCAGTTTGTATCACCTGTAGACCCTAAAGATAGCCCTTTCGGGCCCCTACAAGTTACCTTGAGGATGTTTTGGCACTCAATGAAGTCACTGTGGAGGTGGCTGGTGGCATACAGTTTAAGAAGCAATTGAGGAATTCCACTCCATTTGGACTGCTTGTCCCTCTCTGTCAAAAAAGTCTCAGTGAACTGTGAATTGGAAAAAAAAAAAAAAAAAAGGAACATTTTACTGAAGAGGAAAGAAATACTAGCCAGCAGAGCAGTTGACTCCCTATAGCACCCAGGAAAACAATTCAAAAGCCTCCTTACACAAATCTTCAAAAGCTCAAGAGCCTATAAACTAAAAGTCCAACTCCTTACCTCATGATGCAATGCCCTTCATAAACTAACCCCTACTTTTCAGCCTCATCTATTTCCCAAGGCTTACTCTAGGTTCCAAGTGCATGTGTTTTCTCTCTCTGTACCTGTTCTCTTGCCTAAAAYACTCTTGGTGTTTTCTATCTGAACTGTTCATTCCCCTTTAAAACACAAGCCAAACAAAAATCTTTCTTGATTGGCCTTCCTCTCTCCTTTCTAAGAAATTAGGCACCCCTCCTTTGGGGCTTTATCTATTGCATACTTTATCCTATCATTTCCTAACTTAAGATTCATTTATCCCTCTCCTCTAGACCACAACTACTTCAGAGCAAGTACCAAACTATGCCTGCCCCTGTCCTCCTGACTCCCAATCTCACTCAACCACAGAGTGCCTGGGACAGAGCAGGGACTCAGTAAATGTTTGACAACATGAGGAACAGCAACACTACAATGCCAGAAACATTAATCAATTATGAAAATTTTCACTAACCCTCTTGGGACACACCATTATGCAATGAACACTTATGAACACTGTTGAGAATAACTGACCTGTGAGGGGCCAGATATGAATTATTTTCATGTGCATTTGTCCCTTAATCAGATCAAAAACTTCTAGTACTATTAGTACAGGATAAATAGATCTTCAATAATATTTTGGTTTTATCCTGATATCTATTAGTCCTATTAAAATGGACAATGCCATTATCAGCAATTTCATTTAGTTCAAGCAAGTTCAAATCAATACAAGCTCAAAAACAATGAAAATATATCTTCTCCTTTCTTTGGAAGGCAAAGAAATAAAACAAACATAGTTAGGGGATCCAGCAAAATGAGTACTTAAGAGAAATTTACAGCTGTAAACGATGATATTAAAAATAGAAGCAATGTCACAAATCAATAATATAACCTTTTACCATGAGAAAATAGGAAAAAAAGAGTAAACACAAGGAAGAAAATTAAAAAGACTGCAGCAGGAGCTGGAACCCAGTAACACATGCCTGCATAGCGAGCGACTCCAGAGGATAAAGCAGGATCACAAATTTAAGGTCAGCCTGGACAACTTAAAAAGACTCTGTCTTGTGCTCACTTCCGCAGCACATATACTAAAATTGGAATGATACAGAGTAGATTAGTATGGACCCTGTACAAGGACGACCCGCAAATTCGTGATGTGTTCCATATTTTTTCAAAAATAAAAAATAAAAAAGAAAGACTCTGTCTCAAAACTTAATTTAAATAAAAGTCTGTGGAGCTGGGCATGTGGCACACACCTGTAATCCCAGTGACTCAGGAGGCTGAGGCAGAAGGATTGTGAGTTCAAAGCTAGCCCTAGCAACTCAAGGCTAAGTAACTCAGCGAGACCCTGTCCCTAAATAAAATATTTTAAAAAGGCTGGGAGGGCTGGAGTTTGGCTCAGTGGTAGAACGCTTGCCTAGCATGTGTGAGGCACTGGGTTCGATCTTCAGCACCACATTAAAAAAAAAAAAAATGAATAAACAGGTAAAAAAAAAATGAATAAACAGGTTAAAAAAAAAAAAAAAAAGGCTGGGGTTGTGACTCAGTGGTTAAGCACTTGGGTTCAATCTCCAGTACCAAAAAAGACAAGTCTGTGGATGTAGTTCAGTGAAAGAGCACCTGCTTACCATGCACAAGGCCAACCCCCATCACCACTCACCACACACCACACACCACACACCACACACACACACACACACACACAAGGTTGTGGCAGAAATAAATGAAATAAAGAATAGGAAAATAATCAATGAAACCAAAAGTTTCAAGATTTTCTGAAAATATCAACAAAACTGACAAATATTTAGCTATACTAACTACTACTGGCTCAAATTATTAAATTCAGAAATTAAAAAGGGAATATTACTAATCAACCTTAGAAAAATAAAATGGATTATAATAGAATATTTTTAAATAATAGAATATTATAAACAATCATATGCCAATGGCTTAGAAAACCTAAATGAAAAGCACAAATTACTAGAAAAATATAAACTGAAACTGACTTAAGGAAGAATATTTGAATACATCTATAACGAGAAAAGAGATTGAATTAGTGATAAAAAAAAAAAAAGCCTCACAAAGAAAAACCCAGGTACAGAAAGATGGCTTCACTGGTATATACTACCAAACATTTAAAGAAGAATTAACACCAATAATTCAGATTTTTCTTTAAAATAGGAGATAACATTCCCATCTCATTCTAGGAGGCCAGTATTACCCTAGTAATAAATCCAAACAAAGATATTATGAGAAAACTTCAGATCAGTATCTCTTATGAGTACAGATGTAAAAATCTTCAGCAAAATACTACTAAACCAAATTCAGCAATATATCAAAAGGATTACATACCATGATCAAGCAAGATTTATGCCAGGAAGGCAAGGATAGCTCAACATATGAAAACCAATCAATGTAATACAATGTATCAATAGACTACAGAACTAAACCCTCATGATGTACCAATTAACACAAAAGAAAAAAAAAAAAAGACAAAAATCAAACACACCTTCAATGTGTGGACAAACCTGGAATACAAAACAACTTCATCAACCTATTAAAAGCACTTACCATACATAGCTAACATCATACTTAAAAGTGAAAGATTAAACACTTTCCTATTAAAGTACTTAGGAAAAAAAATAAGGATGACCACTCTCACTACCTCAAACAACTGACAAGAAAAAGAAATAAAAGGTACACTCATATATTATGGGTAGGATTGCAACTTGGTGCAACCACTCTGGAAAGCAGTATGGAGATTCCTCAGAAAACTTGGAATGAAAACTACTATTTGACCCTGCTATCCCAACTCCTAGGTTTATACACAAAGGACTAAAATCAGCATACTACAGTGACACAACTACATCAATGCTTATAGCAGCTCAATCCCCAATAGCTAAACTATGGAACCAACCTAGATACCCTTCAATATACACAATGGAATATTACTCAGCCTTAAAGAAGAATGAAATTATGGCATTTGCAGGTAAATGGATGGAACTGGAGAATATCATGCTAAGCAAAAAGCCACACCCAAAAAAACAAAAGCCAAATGTTTTCCGATAAGCAGATGCTGATCCATAATTGAGGGTGGACGCGTGGGAAGTAGGGAAGAATGGAGGAACTTTGGATTGGGCAGAGGCCAATGAAAGGAGGGGAAGATTGTGGGGGTGGGAAGGACGGTGAACTGAGATGGACATTATTACCCTATATACACACATGATTATATGACTGGTGTGACACTGCACTATGTACAGCCAAAGGAATCAGAACTTGTGCTTCATTTGTGTACAATGTGTCAAAATGCATTCTACTGACATGTATAAGTATTTAGAACAAATTTTAAAAAAGAGAAATAAAAGGCATCAAGATTAAAAAGGAAAAAAATAAAACTCTCTCCATCTGCAGACAACTTGATTTTGTATATCAATTTCATCTGTAATAGCATCAAAATGAATAAAATATTTAGGAATAAATTTAACAAAAAAGATATAAGGAAAATAAAACACTGTTAAAAGAAATTAAATAAGTAAAAGAGACATCCCATGTTCATGGATAGGAGGACTTAATATTACTAAAATGGCAATAACCATTAAGTGATTCAATGTAATGCCAACCAAAATCCCAGCTGGCTTCACTGCAGAAATGACAAGTGAATCCTGAAATTCAGATAGAAATGCAAGGGACTCAGAATAATCAAAACAATCTTGAAGTTTGAAGAATCATGCTTTCTAATTTCTAAATTCACTAAAAGGCTAAAATAATCAAGACTGAATGACTCTGGCATAAGGACAGACATACAGATCAGAGGAAAAAACACTGGGATTCTAAAAATAAAACACTGCAAGAAGCCACCTGTGTATTACTTGAGGGTCTTCTCTCAGGATGGCAGCTAGAGATTTCAGGTTTAACCTTGGGAAATATCTGTGGCTCTCCCATGCAATAGATTGCCCAAGGCAGATGAACTTTATCTCTGCTCTACCAGGAAGATCCCTCATAACGGCTCCAGCATAAACCATTGGGAACTGGACAGCCCACCTATAATCTTTTTTGGTGAAGGACATCCTATGGAAGGCCTTTGATGTTCTCCGATATAAATAAAGCAAGCACGGGCTCCGTTTTGCCTTTCTAATATAGAAATTTGATTGGTATGATCTGCTGGTCCTGCCTCGACTTTCTGAAAATATTTTCTGTGTCTTGTGGTTTTTTTCTTTCTTTCTTTCTTTCTTTTTTTTTATTTATTTTTTAGTTCTCAGCGGACACAACATCTTTGTTGGTATGTGGTGCTGAGGATCGAACCCGGGCCGCACGCATGGCAGGCGAGCGTGCTACCGCTTGAGCCACATCCCCAGCCCCCTGTGGTTTTTTTCATCATTCTATTTTTCCTAGCTTTTATTTCTCAACCAGTCCACTCCACCGAGGGGAACCCCATTTCTGTGGGGGAACTTACACTTAAGATCAATTGACTTTTGACAAGAATATCAAGATTTTTCAAGAATATCAAGAATATCAAGCCTTTTCAACAAATGTTGATAGGGCAACTGGATATTCCAAAAGCAAAGAAATGAAGATGGACTCCTTCCTCATCTCATATACAAAAATTAATTCAACATGGATCTAAATGTAAGAGTTAAAACCATAAAACTTTTAGAAGAAAATATGCGAAACTATCATCATGTTGGATTAAGCAATAGTTTCTTAGTTGACACTAAAGCATGAGAAACCAAAGGAAAAAATAAATTGGACTTCATCAAAAGTAAAAACTTTAATACCTCAAAGGATAGTACCAAGAGGGTGAAAAGACAACCCACAAA